TGTGGTCAGCCAAGAATGCTCATCTTTCTAGGTTAAATCTTTGTACTGCTGCTCTATCCTGCTCTCAGTAGGCTTTTGTTTTTCCCTGTTTTGTTTCTTATTCCTCTCTTTTCAATTCTTGCAGCGGGGAGCTGCCTCCTGTGTACGGGGAGGTCCCAAAACGGAGGCATGTCCTGTTACTGTGTTTCTAGCTTAAAATTGCTTTAGATTTAGCAGAACTGGCTATTTATTAATTTGACGGTAGAAATGAAACATTGTTTTCAGACTCATCCGGGGTTCATCTGTTTAAGAAACTGAATTTTATGTTATAAAGGTTGCTCTAGAAAATTAAAAAAAAAATATTTAAAATTTTAATATTTTATATAAAAAATTAGAAAAATACATGTGAATATTCATATTATAAAAAAAAATTAAAAATATTATCTTAAAAGATTTTATATCTCACATTAATTTTTTTAAATTGAAATATTTGAACAAAAAAGATTTATTATATCATGTTTAAAAAATATAACTTTTTTTATTATGAATATAGAATATATATACTAAAATATTTTAATCTCATATTTAAAAATAAAAGTTTTTTCTAGTATTTATATAATAAATCTTGAAAAGGATTAATAACCAACTAAAATAAATATATACATATATAAAAAATTCTAACTAGTAAAATAAACCATTTTAGAAAAAACCAAATCAAGTTTTAACTAAATTTTGTTAGGTCATCCGAGTCACAGATTAACTAAATTTTTATTTATTTTAGTTTTTTATCTTACCCAGACCGGTTCAATAATCGGATAGATTTACCAAGTCGAAAGGGGTATGATCTAAGATGGAGTGGCAATACTAAATTTATAAGCTTAATGCAGTACAAATTGTGTTTTTTAAAAAAAATAATGTTTTTTATTAAAATTTAATATAATTTATATGTTTTGAATCATTTTGATATATTTATATTTAAATAATTGATAAAAAATAAAAAATATTATTAATATATATTTTAATATAAAAAATTATTTAAAAAATAAATATAATTATACTATCAAACAAGCTTTAGTGTTGGAGTTGGTAAAGAAATATTTCCCCCGAAAGCAGTAGCTGAATTGTCATTTCTTACATGTAGTGACATCCATTGGTTTCTTTTTGGAGGTATCTGGAGAGGCTATAATGCGATAAAAAGACCCCTGTGGATTTTTGTAAGGTAAGGTAATGGTTTGTTTTTATTGAAGTGTTTGAATTTGCCGGATGATTTCTAGGCTTGTCTCCATGCTCTTTGTCCTCTTATTTATGATCCATTCCTGCCTTTTCCTCAATGTAGGGGAATCCTCGCAACCCCTTCTTTATTCTGTAAATATATATTTTGTTAAAAAATTTATTTATAATTTTAAGTTTACATTATATTTTTTTATGTCGTGTAAAAAAAATATTTTCTACAACTCGTGCCATGTATTTTTTGAAATACATCCGGCCTCTAATTTTTGTAATTACATTAATATCACTAATTACCCACGGCCAAAACAAAACCCTATTTCAACCAAACTTTTTTATTATTTTTTTATCGCATCCCTCTTGCTTTTATTTTTTATATCCCCTCTTCCTGCGAAACTTTAGCCTTACTCTAAAATTGAATATAAAAAAATACAAAAATATATGCAACTTAAGCATTACAATTGAAATTAAAAGTATGATGTTTATAGATTAAATAAATAAATTTTTCAACAAAACATATACACAGGTTTTTGATACGAAGAAATCCCAACTGTAGATTAAAAAGTTAATGCATATATTTAATTAAATAAGATTTTTTGTATTTTAATGCACAACAATAAAAATAAAACTAATGTAAATCTTGTGAAGTATTTTTCGTTCTATTTTGTAAAGTTTTCTCGAGATGTACTATTAAATATTAAATGTATATAAAATAAAAATTCTTAAATTTTTTAATAAAATTTCATATCTATCCAATAATTAAATTAAAATTATACTCATTAACATCAAATTATATATTAAAAAAAATAAATCTAGTTGTTGAAATTAATTACCCATGAAATAGATGGATAAAGCTTTTATTATATATAAATTAAATTGACTAATATCTTATTATTATTGGTTAAACTTCACATTGCTTTATATATCCTGAATGATCTCATTGAATGCATATTTTGGTTTCTTTGCCATTGACTTTGTAATTGCCTCGTCTGAAACTTCTACAATATTTTTTGGCAGTGTAGATCATATCATTAACTCTGCATGCCAAATATACAAGATAGATACCAATAAAATTGAGATAAATAATTAAAAAGCTAAAAAAAAAAATTTGAAGTCCAACTTTAAATAAATACAACATATATGGATGAATTTTAAAAAAAAATAAGTTAACGAAAAAACCTAGAAAATAATAGTATATTTTTAGTATTGTAATAATAATTATTTTTAAAATGTTTTTTTGAAAATATATTAAGATAATATTTTTATTTTTAAAAATTTATTAACAATATTATCATAATAAAATAATTTTAAAATTTGTAAAATAATAAAAAAGAAATTATTTTAAAAAAACATGAATATATAAATAAACATACGAGGATTATGACATCATTTGAGAATATAGTATAAAACGTATTCTCAAAAAATTTAATTTTTTAAAATTTTTTAATATATTTTATATTGTTTTAATATACTAATATTAAAAATGATTTTTTAAAAAATAAAATAATATTTTTTATATATTTTTTAATATAAAATATTATTTAAAAAATAACCATATCTATCCTACAAGACAGTTTACAAGGGATGCTCCTAAATCCATCAAACGAAACGTGGCAACTAACCCAAATGGCCCCTACTCCACATAACATAAATTCAAAGCTGGCATATTCAGTTATTCTTTTTCCTCCCCTCCTCCCAGGATTTTCCTTTTCTTCTCCTTTTATCATCAGGGTTTTAGCTTGGGAGAAGAAAAAGAATGGAGTCCATTGCGAAACAACCCCTTAATCTCTCTCTCAACCCCCATCGTCCATCATTTCCAAACCCCATCATTTCCCTCTCCTTTAAAACTCCACCTCCCTCATCATCACCCTTCAAACTCACCACCTCCATCAGAGCCTCATCCTCCTCCCGCATCACCCCAGTCAATCAATCCCTTACCACCATCATCAAAACGACTTCCATCACTCTCACCGCCGCTGCCGTATTATTCTTCACGCGCTTCAACTCCAAACCCGCAATCGCCTCCCCGGTCGCCGCGTCGTCATCCACTGCAGACCCCACAAAAGAATCATCCAAAGAAAATGTCTCGTTTGAAGAACAAGAAAGAGCTCTTCAAGATCATCTAGCTCAAAACCCCAGTGATGTCGAAGCTTTACGGTCTCTCATGGAGGTGAGGATCAAATCAAAGAAACTTCAAGAGGCAATTGAAGTAGTTGACCGATTAATCGAGCTGGAACCAAATGAAGATGAATGGCCATTGTTGAAATCTCAAATTTATACTTACAGTGGAGATTTTGAGTCTGCTAAAGATGGATTTGAAGCAGTTTTGCAAAAAGACCCACTTCGGGTCGAGGCTTATCATGGCCTTGTAATGGCGAATTCGGAATCCGGTGGTTCGTTGGAAGTTGTGTTGAAAAGAATTGAGAGTGCAATGAATAAATGTAAGAAAGAAAAGAAGAACTCGGATTTGAGGGATTTTAAGTTACTGATTGCGCAAGTTAGAGTAATCGAGGAGAAGTATTTTGATGCGTTGAAGGTTTATGAGGAGTTGGTGAAAGAGGAACCGAGGGATTTTAGGCCGTATTTGTGTCAAGGGATGATTTATACTTTATTGAGGAAGAAAGATGAAGCAGAAAAGAAGTTTGAGCAGTTTAAAAAGCTTGTTCCAAAGAATCATCCTTATAGGGAGTATTTGGTTGAAAATATGTTTGCTACTAACTTCTTTTCGGAGAAGGTAGAGAGATAGAGGAGTTGAGGGGTGTGGCTGAATGCATTGAGGTTAAGGGTAATACCAAGGTCGTAACTTTTTTCTTTTTTCTTGTGTTGTTATTTTGATTTTCGTTTTCGTTTTGATAAATGCCTTGGATAGAAGTTAGTTAGGTAGTGTTTTAATTTCCATGCTGGTTAGAGGAAGTGTTCGTGAATGACTATCAGTCTCTCTATTTTTCTAGTTAGAAATGAAAATGGTAATGGATGTGCTGGTTTTTTGGGGGGGAATTCTATTTATTTATTTGTTATGGCACTGCATATATTTATGGCTCTGGTAAAGTTGCATCTACTTAGAGCTCAAATGATTATTGCATGGAGATAAAAGTCTTTAGCCATGTCTTATAAGCAAGTTTCTTGGGGGGAATGCGAGATTCTGAATTTGTGGCTTTGTAGAAATGACCATTGTTCAGTAGAAATTTTATCTTCTAACTTGTTGAGTCTTGGTATTGACCGTTGATGTTGTTGTATGTCCTGCTAAGGCTATGAATTTGCAAAATCATTTAGTTCTCTTCTACTTGGTTGGGAAGGAGGGTAAAATACTCTATGTTGTGTGCATTTTGAACTTCATTAGCTTCATTAGCAAGACAAAGGTGCCTATTCACCCTTGTACTGGGTGGCCCAATTAGGCTTGTTCATGGATGCTAGTTTTTATTTTATCTGAACCCGAGTGCTTCCAACACTCTGAACAATAGCCATGTTAATCATCAGAAACCAGCTTCGCATTTCACTTTGGTTGGTTTTCTGCGTGGTCGTGAAGTGCTAAATTCATACATGTGACCTTTTATTCCTAGTTATCCCTTAGCCAAATCTGAAAGGACTTCATAATTATGACATGACATTCGCTTTGCCTTGTTGCTTTTCTTTTCCTCTGCCCCAGTAAATCCTAGTCTTGCTATTGTCAACGAATATTAAGTTACTCTTTGGTGAGAATGTGAAGTGAATTCCAGCACCTTTTCTGCTCTTTCTGGATGAGTACTTTGGGTGGGCTAGTGTCTGTTAGCTCCACATAACAATTCTTAATCGCTAATTCAGAAGTCTGTTAATCTTTGTGATCCTTTGGAAATGGGCATCAAAAGTGCTATTTAAGAGATGTGGTGAATATCTCGCATTAGAGGCTATATTTTGCTTGCTGGCTATTTATTGTATTTAAATTATTCTTCACAAAGATGTGTACTATTTTATTTTCACTCTGTACTTAATTAGGACTGAAAAAGCCATTTCTTGAATACAAAAGTTGGCCGCAGGAGGAATTTATAGATGGCGTTGTGCCACGTGCATCTTCTTTGATTGTTGAAAATGCATGTATGGCTTATACTAAGGTGTTGAAGAGATCCACCATCTCTGCAAATGCTTTGCACAACAAGGCCGAGTGAGTTCGACTTTGTACCAGATAGGAGGCAAATGCTGGAGTTTGGATTATGGTGTCTTTACTGTAATTTGGCAAATTTGGGGTGATCAGGCTTGGCCATGATGGTTCGTAGTTGTGTTTTCTATAATATATTTTCTCATTGTGATTTCAGATTATTACAGTTATCATTTAGCGAGAATATTTTAACGGGTTAAACTCAAAGCTAAAATGTCATGTTAATCCAATGATTGTAGAGAATATGTGACCGTAAAGAATTCAGGTTTGGAGCCTGTGATTCGGTTTCAGTTCCATGTGCTGCTGCCTTTTTGGACGGTGGAATTGGTAGTCTTTAAGCTTGTGCTGTTAATGACTAGTTGTCGTGATGAAATCTTCATGCAGTGTAAGATTATGATTTAATATCCATTAATTTCGCTTGTCTATTTAATTCATACCAAATGATTCACAAGTAACTCAAATTTTCTGTAGCAGTGCGTTATCATGTTTGATGCTATTACTTACGTGCATAAAATTCTGCACAAAACAGAGGAATTCACTTCTCGTTGCCCCTTCCTGTGCAGAGAGGCTGTGGAATATGAAGTGAATTTTTTATTTTCTCACGTGATTTATCTCCCGGTCCATATAGGGAATATTTGATTAATAACATGCTTGCAGCTAAGTTCTTTTCGGAGAAAGTAGAGGCAAGAAATTCAGTCCTGTAGTTTAGAGTCTTCGTTGAATGAATTGGGGCTACGGGTCGCAACAATGCTGTAAAACTTTAAAGGCCATTTCTACAGAACGAAGTTAGCACTAGTATGAACCTTTTAGATGTAATTGTGGCAATGTCCATCTCCTTGGATTGTTGAACTTGCAGCTGGAGGGCATATAGGATTGTCAAAAGCATTTCTGCAGATGCCTGTAAAAACTCTTGGACTCGGCATTGGTCTATCTACACGGTGAGATTTTCTGGACACCCGATGATAAATCTTGATATTGAGGTTTTTATTTACAGTTCTTTGACTTGTGAAGAACCCAGCACTAGAGTTCGCAGTACAGTGTTTCTTTTGTTCTTGTGCAAAGCATAGATGATCAAGCTGATCGGGGCTAATCTTCCTTGTGTTTCCATCTAGTGCTCCCACTAAACACTGTTAAATGTAATTTCTCAGTGTAACCGCAAGTTGTTGCAGGCGTTACTTGGTTCGCACAAATTGTAGCTGGATAAACAGCAGCTTAAGGGCATGTGATGCTGCGGGGTGTGACTTGACAATTTGATTTTGTTGAGAGAATTGGCTGAGTCGGTCAGTTCCCTTTTCAGATGAGGACAGACAAGGCATTGCAATATATTGTCACTTTTTACCGTCCATATAATCTTGTTAGATTCACATGTTTTCATCAATCAATCTGGGAACCAAGACACTGTTAATTATGGAATCTCAGATTGTCCACTCCATTTGTCTAAGATGATGGTGAATCTGTCTCTGGGTCACCCACGATGCAATGTCCTGCGTGAGCTAGAAGCAGCCCGAGTTTATTATGTTCTTTGAGCCCAAGACGTGAGCAGTCTTTCTTCGCGGTTTGAACACTTGATGGTCCGAGCTCGTTTGGGGGTGGAGTGTGATTGGGGTGTGGGCTACAAAATAGAGTGTTAAAACACCAAATGAATTTACCTCCCCATCTTTTGCTCCAGATTGCTCATCACTGAGATGGTGCAGATGCATATGCATGAGTTTTAAACAAAGCAAGCCCGCGCCACTTCCCAGATGAACTGTATAGCAGGTCAAATCACTGCAGAAACATTTAGAATCCCAGTTCCACTTGGGCGCCTCCATGGGTCACTATTGTTCATAATCAGGACTGAAGAGGATGATGCCACTGTTTACAAGTTGAGGCACCCATCACCACGGCGTTTGTTTTACCATCTACAATAGCTGTGCACGCATGTCTCCTTGAAGGATACCATAACCCGGAATACTTGGTCTTTTTTATAGAAAAAACCCCATTTGATTCTTTTCTTTAGTTCTCGTGATGGGAGAAAGGTTCGGTGCAAGTCCCTCCCGCTCTTAACGGAGATTCTCTGACCCCTGTATTGTCCTGGATAGGGTCCTAGTTAGTTTTAGACGGCTACACTGTAATCTCTGAACAGGTCTTGCACGTCTTCTTGTATCCATCTCGGTGCTGTTATAAACGCGCCGGAGACATCAGCGACCAAACACAGCTCTAAAGATGACAACGCTTAGCTCATCCTCTCAAATTTGGAATCTACAACTTTTTTAAGAGCACAATATTCTATTATTAGTTATGACAAGCACAGGAATTTTTATTATTGTAGTTTCTCTTACCTTTCTCGTCTTGTATGGATCTTATAATACACTAAATATATATATTTTAAAGTAAAAATTATGTCTTAATTGGCCTAGACGCATAGCCTCTAACAGTCCCGAGCGCTTGCAGCTCTAGACTGGGTCTATCTCGTTCATTCACCCCCCCTCACTCTAGATACGCAAGGGCTATTGAATTTAACACCCTGTTTCAGTCATTTTTATAGATTAAGGACCTGTTAACGTTGTTTGTTACCGAGCCACACAAAGTATTTTTTAAAAAACAAAAAATTATATTTT